GTACTCCTTAGTCCTTCTCAAGTACTTGAGTATATGCTTTACCGCAGACCAATGTTCCGGCCCTGGATTACTCTGATATCTTGCCACCATGCCTACTGCATAACAGATATCAGGTCGTGTACACAACATCGCATACATGAGACTTCCTACTGCCGATGCATAAGGAACTGCCTTCATGTGCTTTATCTCTTGAGGAGTCTTCGGGGACATCTTCTTAGATAGAGCGATTCAATGTCGGAAAGGTAAAATCCCCTTTCTTTGAATCATGCATGTTGAAATGCTTCATGACAATGTCTATGTATGTAGAATGGGATAGACACAATTTTCTCTTATCTAGGTCCCGAACGACCTTGATACCGAGAACATGTCCTACTTCTGCCAAATCTTTCATATCAAACTGCTTGGATAACCATACCTTCACGTTTGATAACATTTTCACATTGTTTCCAATGAGAATAATATCATCTACGTATAGCACTAGAAACACCACCACGTTTCCTTCACTTTTCTTGTACACACAGTGCTCATCCGGACATTGGGTAAATCCATACGATTGGACAACCTCGTCAAAACGGATGTTCCAAGACCTCGAAGCCTGCTTTAGCCCATAAATGGACCTTTTCAGCTTACAGACCAGATGCTTTTGTCCCTTTGCAATGAATCCTTCTGGTTGCTGCATATAGATGTCCTCGTCTAAATTCCTGTTAAGGAAAGCAGTCTTAACATCCATTTTCCAAATCTCATAATCCATATGAGCGGCTACAGCTAAGAGAATCCTAGTGGATTTCAGCATAGCTACCGGCGAAAAAGTTTCGTCATAATCGATCCCGTCTTTCTGAGTATACCCTTTCGCAACAAGCCTAGCTTTGAAGGTTTCAACCTTTCCATCTGCTCCTCTCTTTCTCTTTAGACCCACTTGCATCCAATGGCATGCACGCTACTGGGTGGTTCTACAAGATCCCAGACCTGATTGAAATCCATAGAATACATTTCAGACTTCATCGCCTTTTGCCAAGACTCTGCGTCCCGATCTTGAAGTGCCTCATTGTATGTCCATGGGTCGATTTCAAGGACATATGGGACGGCCTCAGAAGACTCTCCCAGACCCATGAATCGTTTGGGCTGCCGGACAACCCTCCCACTATGATGAGGTACTACCTGTTAAGGTGCATCATCAGCGATACGTGTTGTAGTACTTGTGGTGTAACATCTAGCACACTCGGTATTGAAGTAATTACTCCCTTTACCTCCTCAAGGACATGTCTACTACTGGGCTTGTGATCTAACACATAGTCTTCTTCCAAGAACCTTGCATTCGTGCTAACGATAAATATACCACCTTTGTTTCCTTAGGATACCCACAAACAACCTTACTTTTGTTCTGGGTTCCAACTTATCAGTATCGGTTCTCAGCACATGCGCTGGACTACCCCACGATGTCTTAGACTGGGCTTGCGCCCAGACCACAACTCAAATGGTGTAGACGGTACTGATTTAGATTATACTCTGTTCAGAACGTAACCTGTTGTTTCTAGGGCATACCCCCAAAACGAATTGGGTAATGTACTATAACTCATCATAGCCCTAACCATCTCCATAAGAGTCCTATTCCTTCGTTCTGCTACGCCATTCTGCTGGGGAGTGCCCGAAACGGTCAGCTGGGAAATAATCCCATTCTCCGTTAAGTAGTCTCTAAATTCATTCGAGAGATATTCGCCACCACGATCAGAACGTAATGACTTGATGCTTTTCCCTAACTGCTTCTCCACAACCGCCTTATACTCTAAGAATTTCTCAAAGTATTCAGACTTGTGGCGCAATAGGAAAATGTACCCATATCTCGAGTAGTCATCAATAAACGTAACGAAGTACTCGAAACCACCTCTCGCTTGAACAGGCATAGGACCACATAGATCGGAATGAACTAACCCTAAAAAATCTTCGGCTCTATTCCCCTTTGATTTAAAAACCCTCTTGGTCATTTTGTCTTTTGGGCAAGACTCGCAAGTTGGAAAAGCCTTGACTTCTAACAACCCCAAGGGCCCGTCTTCTACCAACCTTTAAATCCTCCATAGGTTTATATGACCAAGTCCTATCTAAAACTAGGAACATAAAGACAATTTTTCAAAACCAAAGTCCTATCGAAATCAAAATCTAGATAGACCTTCCCACTGCAACTGTTGACGCTCTACTAGCATCGCCCAAGTAGATGGTAACTTCTCGTTCCCTAAGTCGTTTGGTTTTCTGGAACCCCTGCATAGTATTGCAGACATGATCAGTGGCTCATGTATCAACACACCAGGTACTGGTAGATAACACCGCTAAACATGTTTCAACGACTAATGAAAAAGATGTACCTTTATCTCCCTTCTTGAGGAGAGGGCAGTCGGCCTTCCAGTGTCCATTCTGTTGGCATTTGTGGCACTTGCCCTTCGGCTTCTTCGTAGCCTGTTGAGGTCGCGCATCATTCATGACCGCTTTGCCTTTTCCTGCGGACTTCTTCCTCTTCCAACATTTAGAATGCCTGGAAGAAGAACCTTCACACCGCATGGCAACCATCACCTGGGCTTTGTGACGAAACAGGCCTTCTGCCGACTGAAGCTCAACAACAAGTTCCGAAAGAGTCATCACCATCTTATGCATGTTGTAATTCAACCGGAATTGTTCGAAGCTCTTAGGCAAAGACTAGAGCACTATATCGACCTGGGTTTCCCCGTCAATAAAAGCCCCAAGGACCTCCAGCGCATTCAGTTGGGCCATCATAGCAAGAACATGTTCCCTCACGGGAGTGCCCTCACGCATGTTCATATTCATCAAAACCCTCATAGCTTCTTGTCGGGCAGCCCGCGACTGATGACCTAATAACTCCTTGAGATTAAGAAGCATCTCTGCTGCAGTGTCCATAAACTGATGTTGATGTTGAAGTACATTTGACAAAGATGCCAAGATGTAACACTTCGCCATCTCCTCGGCCTTTTTTCACCGAGCATACGCCTCTTTCTCATTATCTGGCGCATCATCAGCAGGCACATCCGGACAAGGGTCAACAGTAGAAAATTTGTACCCTTCAGCAGTTAACACTATATCCAAGTTCCTTTTCCAGTCAATGTAATTGGGACCAACAAGTTTGTTTTCTTTGAGAATTACGGACAACGGATTAAAAGACATTTTGAATTCCTGGGATCACGTAAACATAGTTTTTACTCAGTCAAGTGATTAAGAATTTAACATCAAATATTGATCCCTAAAGAACAATATTCAAATAAATTCAACGGCACCTCTATACACCGTATGCCCGTAGGCCACGGAGTGTTGACGTCTACGGTTCAAACCATCGAAAGGGAAGGGAATAATCCCATTAATTAACATACCAACAAATCAACAATCAATTAATAGTCGTTTCATCTTTTTTGCCAGCGCACAATCAAAACAACCTTTTCCTTTGGGAATATCGTAATTATTTGCACTTTAAGTGTAACCCAATAATTGGTACCAAGTTTACTACCAAAATCATACGTTCACCTTTGAATGACCCGTACTCTTTTGTAATAGCTCGCTATTACCATCCCGGAGGAGATTTGTCCTTGTGAACTATGAAATAAATCGTTCCATGGGATTGATTTAAAACACTTCACTAAAAAACCTATAATGGAGGCCTTGGATGTAATTTATTTCAACCCATTACACACTTAATATAATTTTTATTTAAGGGATTTTCCTAGACATGCTCCTATTTCAATTTACACATAAAGCAAATAAGGACATGCATAATTAATGAGCAATAATAAACTAGGAAATATAATCCAACTACTATGGCCATTAATTAATCTCCAATGTTACCAAGAAACACAATCCTGTCCTTTGCTTGAATGTGTTTTCCGTTTCAGGAATTGGAACACCACTTTCGCAGTGACTCCCACTCTTCATCTTGAATAGGTTGTCTCCGGGAAAGTCGCCATTGGATCATCACCATGGCATCCGTACTGTGTTTGTCACCTCGCCCCGTCGAGTTTGGTCCACATCCGCCGGATCAATAATGAATAATAACAACAATTACATAATTCATCCTATGACCCACGTCGGAGTCGTACACGAGTTTTCTATGAAAGCACTAAACTATGCAGTGTCCCACTGCGCGAAAAATTTATTACAAGCATTCATCAACCCAAAAACTCCTTAACATGTCCGATGCTTATAAAAACACCATACATTCATATATGAATTAAAATCATACATACGGGCCATAATAGTCGGATTTGAAATCACCTGCAAACAATTGAAATTTCTAATTTACTATGCCGCTGCGTCCGTACACACATATTTTTTAATGCCCCGAATATTTGAGGATTAATTGAGAATTATTTATTTTTTATTAATAATACTAGTTATTTTTCTTATTATCATTATTGACCGAATGCCTAGTTGTCAATTTAAATGTCTAAATGTTATTTAATTATCAATGTGTGTAGTATATATATAAATATTATCCGAATTTTATTTTACTTGTCGTGCGGCGAACCGAGCTAATTTATTGGCTAAGTCGAGCCTGAGACCCGAGCCGTATATCGAGCCATTAATATTATTAACTGGAAAACCGAGAGCCCAAGCCGCAAATAAAACCCGCGCGACCCGGCCCAAATGAACCGGCCCCAACTCGGTTTCCCTATTGCGCGTGTGTGCGTGTGATCTATTTTTCTTACTCGCCAAGACTTGTAAACCTAGTCTAAGTTAGCTGTTCGTTATCTCCCTCTCAAACAAACACGCCGCACAGAGAAAGAAACCTTTATCTGCTCCCCAAGAAATCCTGCAGCCCTCTCGTCATCTCTCTCTCGTCTTTCTCGATATCACGCAGAACGGGAAGAAAAATCTCTCGCGATCTCTTTCTCTCCCCTCCACGCAGATAAACCCTTCTCCTCCACGGCATCGCGATCTCACCGGCGAGTCCTCTTCTGCGATTCCGCCGTTGCCATCTTCCTCCTCAGCAACTCGCAGTGGACAACCGCGACCTTCACGAGCAGGCAGATTTCCAACGATCCTCCGCCGCGAGTTCCCTCTTTCCGGTGAGTTTTGTTCGCTGCTCGCGCAACCACCGCCGGCAATCGATCGTCGCCCTTGTTGCTCCGCCTCTGCTCACGCACAGCAAGACGATGAGCCGCTGCACCTCCTCAAGCCGCCATCAACATCGCTGCCATCACTGTCGGCGACCTTTACTCACTGCTCCTCCATCGTCGAGTTCCGGCAGGCCCGTAACCCCAGTCGCGAGCTCTCCTCTGCGTCAGTCACCACCACGAGGTCCCAGTGCCGCTACAACTTCCGGCGATCCACAGAGCCCCGACGAGAACTCCCTCTTCCGGCAACCCCAGCAGCATCCTCCGGTGATTTCCCGTCCGAGCAACACCTTCACGAGCCCTCCTTCTCTTCTCGCAGCCGTGAACAGAAGGTCCCCGACGAGTCTTGAGCCGTGACTGCTCCTCTTCCCTCGGCGAGCCGCGTGAAACCATCGAGCCGTATCCGCAGCCGTGAGCCACCTCCTACGTGTTGTCGTCCCGTTTTCAAACGCATATCCCGAGAACGGTACTTAGGCTCGAACCCCGTTCAATTTCATGATATGTGATAATTTGACTTGTGATATATTATCGTGTTGTGGCTCGATATTATTAATTGAAAATACGTAACAAATCAAGTGATATCGTGAATTTTATTGTCCTATCGTGTTTGATAAGACCGAGTTGGACCTCGGACAATGTGTTTTGGATATATTAAATGTTTATGTCTTAAAGTAGTGATAATTGAGGCTTTCTTAACATATAAATTGCGCGAATTCATGGCTATGTCGTTGTGCGAGTATATTGAGTTGTTTAAAGCATGAACACCCAAAAATCGAGCTTCAGTTGGGCTCTGTTTTTGTCAACCAAGATGATGTCTCTTGGACAAGTGTTCTGCTTGAGTTTTGTCGTGCTCTGAGTTAGGGTTCTGTGAGCTTTGGAATCTTATGATTTGGAGTTGAAATGAATTTGTTATGATTTTTCAAAATTGGTCGAGCATGCTGTTTTTATAAACTCGGACAGAAATTCTGATCGTAGTTCATGACTGTTTTAGATGGCCTTAACGTCCCTGAATGAAAATTTGTTCTTCATAACAAATGTAGTATTTATTGTTAGATGCCTGTGTAAATTGGAATTATGTAATTTGGAGTTTTGGTTGGTTTTATATGAATTTTCAAAGTGGGACGTACCCCCAGTTTTTATGATGCTAGGACTGTGTTTATGCATTGAATGTGTGCTCTATTTTGATGATCCAAACGTGCTCGTATGCAAATGTTCTCTTCATAACGTTTGTAGAATTCCAGGTGTAGGTTCTGTAGGTTTTGAGTTTGTGTGCATTGGAGTTGTGTAGCTTGAGTTGTTGTCATTTTCTGAGGTGTTGTATATCCAAAAAGTTGTTCTCTGACTGTTTCTATGAACTAAATGTTTTGCAGTTAAACTCATTGATAATGTTGTTATTTGGCAATGAAGTCCTCAGAAACGATGTAGGAAATTGAGTTACCTACCTTAGGGTTTTTTAATTTCAGTAATATCATGTTTTTAGATCCTGTTATCTTGGAATTACTGAAGTGCTGTAAGTTGTTCTTTTCCTTTCCAGACTGCAGCTATGTTTTGTGTTGTTGTTGATTTATCTTTGCGACGATGTTAGAATTTGCTAAAGACGTTTGCATAAAAATTGTAGCTTTATTTCTTATATTTCTATGAGTGCCAGATTCACATTTTTATCATGACTGTAGCTCGAGTTATCCTCAAAATACGGCCATCATGTTTGAATGTTTTTGACTGCACCCTTATCTGAATGTTTGTTGATATATCATGTGGATAATGATTTCTTTTGATTTTAAGTTGTTCTTGAGAGTTGTAGATATATGTCTTAGGATTAACATGCCACTGGTTTCATGTTATTTCGACTTATGTGCTTCTAGACGTGTTCATTTGAATATCTCTACGTATATCATGTATTACAAAATCATTAGTTTGATTTGAAAAATGGCATGCACCATGAAATGTTTGATTATATGACCTAAGTGATTTATTTATTGATCCATGTAGTATGTTTGATCCTTAAATGTCCTTATAGTTAAAAGTTAAGCAAGCCAAGATATCCACCAACCGAAAAGACTTAAACATAAAATGTTTTCAAAATATACATATATGTATAAGACTAGCGAGTAGCAGTAAAGCCTTGATAAAGTTCTAAGATAAGTCCCATCGAATGTAGGTAATTGAGGAGTCAAGCCTCGAACTACGCCATTTGCTTGTCGAATTATTTCAGTCCGGAAATCCAGGTGGGTACTTTTAAGTGTATCTACATTTATCGCACTTATTATTTCGTATAAAGTTTCATTTGAAAATTGATGTATGCGTGAGAACCCTAGTCTAAGTGTCTCGTATGTTAGTGCCTTTGAGGAATGTATAAAAAGTGAGAGGTCATCGGCCCGTAGATTCGGAGAGGTGACGCCCTGATCCGTATGATATTCGTGAAGGGGAAAAACAACTCTACTGTCTCCTGGAAATGATCCCAGGCCCGTAGCCATTCGGTGATGGAAATGTTTCCAGTTACTTCCTAGCAGTTGTATCGGAAGATTGTTGTATGTATATAGGAGGTTTGCGATAGGGCCAAGTAGGGAGTTAGACTTTGGGTTCTATGCATACTATGGTTATGATGTTTTAAATTTTTATGCGAGATAAACTGTGCGATAATGGTGAGCTCGATGGTAATGCTCACCCCCATTACTTTTCTGTTGTTGTCTCCTCTTCTTTTCTTTAAGTTGAGCTGAGCTGATGGCGGTGGCGTGAAGACGAGCGAGATGATGGTCAATGGTCGCTGAGTTATTTTTATATATATGCTTTTGCCTGTTTATGATCTGTTGAACTGAAACTTGACATGATTTATTTTCTCGCTTGGAATTGGATATTTTATTACGTCAGATTTGAACCTTTTGAGATTATGTTTTTCCTTAATGCTTGTTTGTTTGAACTTAATAGATGTTTTTTGGAATTTGAAAGCTGTTAGTATCGCATGTGTAGGTTCTATCCGATTATGTTCGTGTGTTTGTTAATTGTTTGTGGTAGTTAAGTAGCGCCCTTTGAGTTTTAAATTTAAATTTGGGATTTTGCAAAAAATTTACTCCGATTTTTATAAATAAATTCGGTAATTCTTTAAAATAAAACGGGGCGTTACAGTTTGGTATCAGAGCCAGTCTGCGTTTCTGTAGACTACCTCTTTTGTTTATGTGTTTAATGACCATTCGACCACTCGCTTTCGTCTCGCCGCGCCAGCTCAAGGTATGAGTTTATTGTTTTGATTACTTTATTTGGAGCTTAGGAATTTATCCTCCGTGTACATGGACTTGAACTCTAGTGGTATAGAGTTGTGTTCCGACTTTAGAAATTGCAGTGAGTTTTCGGTTGGGTGTTATCGAGTTAAGTTTCTGTTTAGTGTCTTCGAGTGAGGACTATTCGTAAGCCATCTCGAAATAGAAGGCTTAAGTAAAGAAGCAGACAACCGAAGGAGTTCCGGGTGTGTGGACTATTCAGAAATCTGTGACTATAGTGGATAGAACTATTAGACGCATGTTGGAACCCGGTTGATGAGAATCGGGAGTGGAGTCTAAGTGTCGGTTTCATGTTGATGATCCGACCACTTGTTCTTGTAGATTCGTGGAGATCAATATAATGGCTGATTTCCCTTGTTAAAATTTGCTCGTTATTATTCGTTCTTTTCTCATTGGTTTGTCTCGTGAATTCTTCGAGGATATTAGAACTCTGTTGTTGAGTTGTCGATGCCCTCTTCTTTTGTTACGTATGGCTGGGATGTGATCGAATAAATTCGAGCCTTGACTTGTCATCCGAGCCCTTGTCTCGTGATCGTTGTACGTTTTAAGAGTTGACCTTGAAAAACCTTTTTTTTTGTTTAAAACCTTTCATTGATGGTTGTTTAGTCGCTGTTTTGACCTCTTTAAACTCGGTCGATAGACTTTGAACTCTTCTGATGAGTTAAAGTCCAATTTCTTATGTTTCATTTTGAACAAGAACCAAGTAATTATCCATTTTGTGCTGTAGGATGTGGCCAAAGTTTTGCGAGTGTGCGTCTAGTTTTTCTTTTTTTTTTTTGGGTTTTGTATGTGATCTGTTTTCATTGTTGTTTTTTAGCCCTGAAACTCCGTCGTCTCGATAACATAAGCTTCGGCCTTCAGGATTCGGCCGCCAATACTAAGGTTAAGGTCTTCTGCCTTGGAGCTCGTCACTATCTTCCTTCCCGAGGCTAGACTCACCTCGAGAGTTTCAACAGTGTTGATGGGCTGAACTCTAATGGCCTCCACACATCAAGTCGACATGAAAGAGTGCGTCGCACCAGTGTCGAACAGAGCAAATATAGGTACATCATTCAAAACAATCATTCCAGACATAGTATCTGGGTTCTGCTCTGCCTCAGCCTGCTTGACTGCATACACCGGAGCCTGCTATCCTCGCCTCTGCTGTTGAGGCGGCCTCTGCTGCTGCTGCTGCTATCGGGACTGCTGCTGCTGCTGCGGCCTATCCAGACAGTTCCGGATGGTATGTCCGGGCCTCCGACAGTGAAAGAAGACGTTCTACCCAGCAAGACACTCTCCGCGGTGTGGGCGTCCGCATGTGGCACATGCTGGAACCTGTGGCTGTCTCTGCCTGATCCTCCAGTCATTCTGCTGACCCTTCCACTTTCTCTTGTTCTTAGCCTTCGCATGCTGGACAGGCGCTGGCTGAGTTGGGGGTAGTGCCAGATACTGAGCTGGGGTCAACACTGGGGGCTGAACTGAGTCCATCCTGAGACTGGCGTCTGTCTCCTGGGTCTTAGCGACGACATCGGCGTAAGACTGGATGTCGTGTCCCGCAACATGGTGACGGATAGCTGGCAGGAGCCCGTAACCGAAACATCTCGCCTTCTTCGTCTCAGTGTCCACCAGATAAGGGACAAAGGACCCGAGACGAACAAACTCCCACTCGTACTCATCTACGGAGCGGTGGCCCTGCTTAAGTGCCAAGAACTGGCGCTCCATCTCAGCCTTGTAAGTATCCGGGTAATACTACTCCCGAAGCATCTCCTTGAACTGTGCCCATGTGAGGTTCTCCTTCTCACCAGGGCGGAAGCCCAGTAGGAGTTCCACCACATCCTGGCGTCTCCTGTCATCTGGACCTGGGCACATAGAATGCTGTGCCTCTCGGAGCACTCGATGATCTCGAAAATGGCCTCGAGACCCTGGATCCACTTATCAACTAGGCGAGGGTCTCCCTGCCCCGAGAACTTGTCTGGGTTGTAGCCGCGAAACTGGGCGACTACCTCA